ACCCACTTACCTTGAAATTAGATCTACTCACCTCGAATCAAACATTAGACCAGCAAAACATCTGACAATTACATTTAAATAGGCTTCTGTTTCATGACCTGATGAGATAGGAGCTGTGGCGCCTATGGCGCAGCCACCGGGGAAATTCCCCTGTGGCATAGGCGCCCAAGGCCCACCGTCGGCTTTTTGGGGCGCAGCGACCGGAGGAAGATGCACCGACATGACCGGTGCATCTTCCCCCGGTGGCTGTGCCCCAAAAAGCCGACGGGAGCGTTGGGCCTTGGGTGCCTATGCCACAGCTCCGATCTCATCAGGTCATCTTGGTGCATCTTCCCCCGGTGGCGCCCCAAAACGCCATGATGAAGCGGCAGATCAAGTGGCTTCTCAAGAAGCAACCGTTGTGGAGTCAGGTGAGGCTCAAGGAGCTGCCAAATGAGGTGGTGTGGACGGTCATGCTGAGAAGGTTCTTTGACCACTACTACCGGAAATCTGCCTGGAGTGAGTCGCAGTGGAATGGGACACGGGATGAGCGTACTATGAGGCTTTGCTGAGGGACTTTGGTGCCGAAGAGGTGCAGGCCGGTGAGCTTGTAATGGGTGCGCCTGGCAGGCCGCACACAGCCAAGTTCCTGGTGACCCGTCTGACAGCTTTCCGGGAGCTTCTTGACATGAAGAGTAACTGGGAACGTTCTGATCGTGGAACCTTGGTTCTGGATGACATTGCTCGTCGGCTTGCTGTGAAGGATAGAAGACAAGCGGTCGTGTTGCTGTCGAGGTTCTCTTCCACACCCTTGTGCTAAGCCATCTCTGCAGAGCGTCCACCGGATGGTGCAAAGGCCACGCTGAGGCAGTTCACTGAGGCCTTTTCTCGACGCTTGGCCTCAGCGCCACACGTGGCTGATCTACTCACTTCTTCTTTTAACCTTGCTGGGAGGAACCTGCAGGCTGGCAACACGCGAGCATCTTGACCGCGGCATTTGGCCGATTGACTTCTAAAAACATACAATCCTATATATCGGCATTGGCTGTTGACATCGGACGAGTGCATTCTGGTGGGTACGGGGGGCTCAGAAGCTTCTGAACCTCCATGGACTACACCGGTTGTGGGCACCTCAAACAGTGAGCGCGGCAACCCTGCAGCAGGCGCGTGAGATGTTGGTTCGTGGGCGGAAGCTGTTCCGCTCAAGCTTGAAGAGTGGTATGGACGAGTTCCCGGCTCTGGCCAACGCGGTGCGACAGTTTGCGCACGAAGACGGTGCGTTGGCGCTCATGAGAGTGCAGTTTCACATGTGATGTGAATGTGGAGCTTTGCACAAAGATCCTTCATAGGTTGCAAACATGAAATGAATGTGAGGCAGCATCAAGGGCCCACACATCAATCGACAACAGTTGACTCCATTGACACCATTACCAATCGAATTTGACAACATGTCGTGGTCTCAGAAAACCCTGCCTCCGAGCCACCTCTTCCTGGACTTCTGCGTGTAGTCCACTCATCTTCTTCTTGTTCCCATCGTGCTCTTCAAAGCTCCTTAGCCTCCAAAGAACATGCTCATTTGAGTTTACTTCATCAACGGATTTGTCGCGGAAGCTTGATGGGCAATCTGTGCTCCCACACTTCTTTCATTGGGTCATTCACGCGGGAGCGCATTTTGATTGGTAGGTCGGCTGGGTGGTTGTGGGGTGGCTGGGGTTGCGACGCCGCCTCGAATCGCCTTGATATGATATATCGATCTAAGCTGTATAGGTTCTGCGCGGTTTCTCTCATATACAGCCTTTTTTGGTGGGCATTGTTCGCAACGATGATGACGAACGTGAGATTGCGAAATAGATCGATTTGGTCTAGTCATACAAGCCTGAGCGAATGAATGGGTGTCTTGCGTGTTTGTAGCAACTTCTGCAAGTTCTCAACAGATTCGAAATCAAGGAACATGAGAGTTTTAGATCTCAAGGATGGGACTAGGGTGATTTCAAGACGGCCAAAGGTTGAACGAAGTGAACACTGGAGCCGTGCAACACGTTCCAGGTTTAACCTGAGGTCGCGAGGTGAAAACAGCTTTGTCGAACTTGCGTTTACAATAGGTATTGCAGTTTGAGTTTTCATTTGTTGGCAACTGTGATCTGCTGAACCTTGTTCTGCATGTAGCGCTTACAGTGGGGAAGGCCAGCAGTCTTGACTTAAGTGCTGACTGTTGCAAATCGGCATTCCATGGTGGTTTATTATCCCAGTTGAAGAATGTACTAAATGTACTAACTTGAGCGGGCCCCAGTATATACGGATATAGTGGTATATATAGAGAGCGGGTAGTCATGGGGGGTGGGGTTGTGAAAGTTGTGATTGTGTAAGGTTTTGCTCTTTTTGCAGATGATATGACGTTGATAGGGTTGTGAAAGTTGTGATTTTGTTCTTTTGCTCATGTGCAGTTGGTAAGCATATTTGTTCATTCAACTATGTACTACAAAATGTCTAAATCCATATGGTTAGGTGTTTACTACAAAGTTCTTGGATGTCGTAATCTAATTCCACGCACCCCCCCCATGCAAAACCATATTTCTTGCTTGTAGAGTGTGAGTTGCATTGCTCTTATTGAATGCAGTTGAGTAAGTACATCAGAATCAGAAGGCCAAGAATTGCCAACCCCAATAGCTAAAGTCTAATTTGATTTCACTTGAATTCAAAACCAAACCTATTCAATTCTACCCTACTTGTATCCGACTTGGACTTGGCCAGAAGCTCAAATCAATCTTGGTGAGCTGCGCTTTGCCAAGACGCAGCTGAGGTCTTGCTGAGTGCGTTCCAACCCGCCCCTCCTCCAGCGTTCCCTCCTTGGCCGCCCCATGGAGAGAGAGAGAGAGAGGACCAGCCAAAAAGAACAAAAAATTCAGACCCAGGGAGAGGGACCCAGGAGAGGCTGGACAGGAGACATAGGTCTGATTTTTTTTTTGGTGCACTTATTGGCAGACCAGCCAAAACCAAAAAGACAAAAAGTTCAGACCCATGGAGAGGGACCCAGGAGAGGGTGGACAGGAGACATAGGTCTGACCTTTTTGTGTTTTTTTTGGGGGTGCACTTTTGGCAGACCAGCAAAAACAAAACCAAAAAAAGGTTCAGACCCATAGAGAGGAACCCGACCCAGGAGAGGCTGGCCAGGAGACATAGGTCTGATTTTTTCGTTTTTGGGGGGGGGCACTTTTTAGGCAGACCGCCCCCCCAAAAAAATACAAATCTCGAGCCATGGAGAGTTCCGAGCCATGGAGAGGGACCCAGGAGAGGCTGGACAGGAGACTTGGGTTTGTGTTTTTTGTTTGTCCTTTTGGTCTGAACTTGTTGTTGTTTCTTTTGGTGTGTCGATTGTTTTCAGAAACTATTTTGCACTTGCTAATGTTTGCATATCACTACCCTCACAAAAACCTGCGTTTGTACAATCTACACCACTCCACCCCCCATGGCTACCCTTTCTGGATATATATAGAGCTATTTATCATATTTATCAGTACTAAACCTAGGAGTCAGCTTGGCTAGATCAAACGAGTAGGTCAAAAAATAGTCCAAGGCCACCTGGTTGAAGGATGACCTAGGCCCCAGTTGTTTGTTGTTTTTTGCCGTGTTTGGCGGTCCCAAACCTTTCGCAAATTATTCAGGAATCTTGCTATGTATCTTGCTGTAGACGATGTAGATATAATGCATTGTAATACTAATATACACGTCACATCTGTCATCCTTGTTTGCATGTGCTATGGACATGCCACCTTTCGGTGCAGGATCGTGAGGAGACGCTCGCCCAGGCTGGCCTCGCAGGCGGGATCTCGCAGGAGCCTCCACGGCGGGTCAGGTCAATGCGCTGAGATCATGTGGTCCAAGTCTCCTGAAGATCCTGAGCCACCCTGTGCGAGCACCTTGTGATCCACTTGTGATTTGTGCTTAACATCGGCTGGTCCTCCCATTGCGGATTGCGTTGGGATGAGACTGATGGAGATCAGCAGTGTTATACTTGGCCGAGTTTGTGCCTTCAACATGCGGGCAACATAACGTGTCCAGACACCCCGCGAGCGTAGCATGAAAGTGCAATGCAATACCTTTCAAGGTATGATCAGTATGATACAGTTGGCCTGCAAAGAGAACTCGTGGTTTCTTTGTCTCTCTCTTTTTTGGCATTTGGTTCAGTTTTCCCGGGTGTGAGTCGTGATGGACACCTTGGGACGCACATCGTGCGGTGCTGAGACGCCGCCAGTTGTGCTACTGTACCTGTTTGTTCTTCAAGGTTCCTCCAGCCAGATGAGGTTTGGTCATGTAATGTAATGTATATATAGTAATAACTTAAACTTGACTTGCTGACATTGTCAAAATTAGTACATACCCCCAACCCTCAATGAACAACTATGCCGCTAGGCGTTCCTCATATTTTGCGTTCAGGGAGTCCGGGAGTGGGAAGTTGTTTGAGCCTTTCTTCAAATTTGGAAGCCCCAGGGTGGGAAACTGTCGCAGGCAATCACCCTTGTATGTTTTGATTTGTTTATCAACATTGTAATTATTGTAGTGGTTTGATAAGTCAATTGAGGTGTTTGTCAGTCCGTATCCATGCATATATATATATACATACATATATATGTATATATATATGTGCGTGTGTGTCTGTGTAAATAACTCATATATTCCGGTAGTCTTTGGTGTCAAGAAGATTTGCACTCAAGTCCCTGTTCCTCGCGGGCCAGGTCAATGTGCTTTGATGCTGGAACGGCTCTGAGAACCGGTCGCCACGGCTTTTGAGCGCCACCGAACGGGTGCATGGAGAACGTGCATGGTGCCATCTCTAACAGAGATTCTGTTCAAGGTCTATGAAGCTACTGGGGTGTTTTTGTTGGGTCGAAATGTTTGGTATTTCATCTAGAGAAGAACGAACTACTATGGGATCAACTGACCACTGACCGCCGCGGTGACCCCATGATTATATCTCCACAGAGATTGGTTTTATGGGTCTTTAGATGTTGCTTGTTTTCTTGCCTTTTTCAAGTAAGTCTGTTTGGAATGCGCTACAGTAGCAGAAACTATAAGCATGGCAGAGGAACATGCCATATTGTAGAGGAAAGACATTTTCCAAGGGGCCCTTTTCCACTGCAATGTTTTCTTTTGAGAGTGTATTGCTCCATGTTTTCAAAGGCTTGGTCAACAACTCCAAGCTTGGCCGGGGAAATGTCACAAGACACTCGAATGCCTTCCGTCAGTTTGCTCAGATGGTGGGGTTGCGCCAGCCGTGGGCTATTGAACAGTGGAGGCTAAGCCTCACGAAAGATGGGGTGAGAAGAAACCCGAAGAAGCCATCGAAGCGAAGATTGAGATCGTTGGATGATGAGAGTTTCTGTGTTGGAATAGGATAAGCGGCTACGCGTCATTTCTTTGGTATTGTCGTTGTTCTCTCATTTACATCTCTTATATATATATATGTCGAACAATATGTGCTTCTACAACAGTTTCGGGAAAGGGGCAAGAGGGACAATGGGTAGACCAAGTCTGAGTCACCTGCAAATCGGTTGTTTTTTGGCTCTTCAGGGTGCCGAGATTGTACCTGCCATATTTCTAAGGCTTTTTGGTGGTTGAAACAACCTTAGTATTCCAATGAGTTTGGTTGTCCATGTTTGCTCTTCCAAAGGAGTCCAACTGGAGCAGAAAATCCTGTTCAATGCGCACCCATTGGTGGAGTTTTTCAGAAGTCAACAGGGTGTGTATGATTGTGTATCAAATACTAGTAACAAGTGCCACGCTAGTAGTAACAGGTGCCTTACTAGTACTGGTAGTAACAAGAAGATAGTAGAAACAATAAGCTACTAGGAACAAGTGCATCGCTTCTAGAGACCTCCCAGTTCGACCGGAAGGAGAAGTCACCAGTGGTACCATGTGGTTCCTGATGGGGGTCTGAAAAAATGCATCCACAGAAGTACCGAGACTCAACCAGACTCAACCAATCTGATCCGCAGAGTCTGGGAGAGTCCTTTCTGGGAGCTGGACGGCTGGTGTCTTGCTTCTTCGATCTTGGGTTCATCTAGCGAATCTTTGGCTAAATGACTATTGCCATCGATCGTTCCTATCGCCCTATCGGCGTTCAGAACATGTGTGATCATGTTTGCATTTCTCTTGCAAGCTGGGCGCTTTTGTTAGGGGGCATCGGGATCGGATGTAGTTTCGCAAGAAGATTGTCCTAAGACGGAAGAAGACCGATAACACCCAGGACACCCACGTCGTGTCCTTGTCACGATCAACTCTTCGCGTGCCTGCAATAGATTGGCTGCCATTGGAACAGACTGTGACGTATTCTCACGCACCCTTGAGAAGCAAAATAATCCTGTGCAGACAAACGATGTCCCTCTCTTTCGGACCGGCCGAAATTCGTCGTGTCGGGCACTGGCACTCGACGAGATGTCGATACGTGTCGAAAGCAGTCCATGGAACTGGCAGATTTACAGATCAGCCGTTTTTTTTCTGCTAATTTTGAGACATCGGACCTTGGATGAACTTATTCAAGTCTCAATATGTGTGTAAGCCCGTTTTTGCCCAGACTATCCTATGCTTTGGCCAAAGATTTCACAAAGTCTGGAGATGCCCTTGCCATCCCTTGGCTAGGGTTCGATCATGTTCGAAGTACTTCAGTATAGGTAGACCCCAATATCTAGTCATGTGGTGTTGAGTTGCGTTTCTGCTGTGCCTTGACGCACATTGTGACGCCACTGGCTCAGTTGTACGTAGTACGCAGTATGCTTGTTGGGTATAGTTGCAAATCTGGAAGACATCAATTCATGTCAATTCAATTATGTTTGGTAAGCAAAGATGCCTCCAACCAACCAACAAGAGTCAACAAGACAACAACTCAAATCGTTGGCACGAAAGGCATGCTTAAGAAACACAAGCATATTGCACTTCAACAACATGCGGGCCGATCATGGCATATGAAGGAGAGCACTCATTAGTCTCCTTACTTGCACTGATCAGACACCTATTTATGAGGCAGATATATGGTATATAGATTCAATTAGACAGGACAGGTGTTCACTGCTCATTACCATGTAATGATTCAGCAGTGTTGCTATCTACATGGGGGATCCCAACAATACCCCTATGAGGCTGCGATTGTACTAAGTGCATCCCTGCGGTTTGTTAACTTGGAGGAATGTTTGGAGATCAGGTTGCCTCCCACATGTTGGCGAACGTTGGAAAACGTTGACAGGATTAACATGATATGAGTTAACATGGTGATTCTGAAATAGATGGGCGCCCAATACACCGTTGGCTTCTTCCCAAACCGTACGTTTGGGGTGTGTCTTCATTATGACCACCCCCTTGCGTCGGTGAGTCTTCCAGTCACGGATGGCCAACGGAAATGTCACCTCCAGGTACGACTCTAATAAACGTGCGCGCGACCCGTGTGCGGCGACAAGACTGGCATGGCTGGAGATAAAGGAAGGACGGCTAATTTCTGTCTCAAAGCATCCTAACACGGCAGTGTTGTATAAGACTTGTGGATATGTGGGGCTTAAGTTCAGCATTGGTAATCTGGGTGATTTGGCAACACAAACAAACTTGTGCTGCATGCAGAGAGGAGTTGGAACATTATCGCAAGACTCTTATGTTTACTTGTAACAACAGGTCGCAAGAAGTATTTGATTATTTGCAACACGCGAAGTTGTTTGCACATTTTCAGATGTTTCTCTAAACTGTGGTGATGAGTATGATGATACATTCTTCAGGACAATCCCATTGCACGTTTGGTGGGATCGCTCATGGGATTTGATGTCCACATCTTCCTCCAGCTCGGAAGCAAATTCGCAGACGAAAGAACAATGGGACTGCCATATTGTGGTGGTTGAAAAGGGAAAGTATTTGCCTACGTTGTGGTGGTTAAAAAGGGGTCGTACATGGGGTGGCATATTTTCCAGTCCCAATTGCCATGGGAATTCGGCACCCGCATTTGGGACTGCTGTGAATGGCATCAACAGGGTGGATCAAATCCGACGGGGGGGGTTTTAGGCCACAGTTTTTTCCTAGTGAATCTGCCACAGAGTAGAGAATAATGGATTTTCCTGCTTCTTCCAAGTGGTCGAACTTGAAGCAGCTACCCTCCGACTCAGCTGGAAGTGGACAACCCCCTGTTTGTAGGCGAAAGCAAGTTTTCGCATCGTTTAATGTCCACTTGCATGTCCCAGACACTGGATGTTTGGAATATGCCCGAGCCCTTTTCATGTTTTGTTTAAATAATCCCCAAATCTATACCTATATATATATATTGATGGGCAAATAGTGGTAAATATGTCAGTCTCATGCAGTGGTGTTTGGGTCAAGCGAGTCAAAGCTTCTGCAAGGCTCCTGGGCTCACGCTTGTCCACCCGGACGAGGCACAGATCGAAGACCGCCAAACGCTTCTTATAATCATGAACTGCAGATTGTCGTTCCGATTTGGTTGTGTTTTTCCTCGACAACCCAAATTAGACTTATATAATCTTACGGCAGTGTTGAGCTTGGTCCAAGCATGTCCAAGGAACCTTTGATCACGGATTTCCAGTCCCAAGCAAGGCACCAAGGAAGGGGAACACTCGCCCTGCACGACCTTTTCTATGACTTCATCGGGCCATATCGGGCCCGAAAGTGCGACATGTTGAGGGCTGATTGGAGATGGTCATGTTCTACATGATGCTGCGGAGACTCACAGCCAAAACTGAAGCTCTGAATTGGAACCTCCAACTGCCTGTCCTTGACTCGTCCTTTTGATTTGATCGATCTCCGCCTGCTTGATCGCTCGTGTTGGTCTGTGCAGGGAGCGCTTGGGCTCGGAGGAGGTGGACCAAGAGGACACCAAGGCGGTTGGGGTCAGAAGGGGCCCTCCGGGTGGTCCAAGGGACCTGGAGGCCTGGAGACCGGATGGGAAAGGCTAGGCTGGACATCTCAGGACGCCGGGACCCGTCACAAGGCTCGGCTCTCTGTGGGTTGAAGGAGAGCCTGTGGCCAAGCGTCTGACAGTTGGTTTCAATGCGGACAATGACCCCAAGTGGCCCAATCTAGATTCAGATGACTCCCATGTGACAAAGAATGAGATGGCACATATTGTTTCTAGTGTGAGGGGGTTTTGATTCGATGATCTCTCTGTGGACTATGGAGTTGCTTGCCCATGCTTTGGATTGCTTTTGGACCGAGTCTCCATCAATGCTGGCTGACCGATGTCGGAGGTCGGGTTGGTGTTCGAGTCCAGATTCCAAACTGCATAGACCCATTTGGAACTGATTTAAGAACGGTTTGCAGATATTGTTTGCAGTTAAGGGTCAAGACCTCCGACCCTTGGGCTTTAAATCGTTATATATATATATATAATCCTCCTTTCGCCACTTTCGCCATGACCTCTTCGAGAGTCTCCCTCTCTAAATACACCCTATAATCATCCACTCCATCGGTCACCTCTCATTTAATGGTCGAAATCGCCGGTCCAGGGCTGGGGGGCCTTCAAAGACAAGGACCTTGAGGAAAGGCCTGGCTGCCCGAGCTTGTGCGCTTCCTCCGCATGTTTCGAGGATCGAGCTTCGAGGGGCGAAAGGACACAGTTTGGATTTTCCAGGTTTACCTACTTGATCACACTTTGTTGGTTCCTCCTTTGCAGCTCCGTGGCTACTTGTACTTTCCAACCAGATCACTACGGCACAAAGAAGCAGCAAATGCAGCTGACGTCAAGGCTTACAATATTCCTTTGTCCAGTACTGTAAGTGAACTTGAAAGGGCAATCAATCATTGCTCATTTGGGTTCCGTTCTCAAAGAACCATTTGGCGTTTCA